GCGGGGCCACGACCATTCGAGGGGAAACCATAGAGTTTCCCCTCGGATGGTTGTGGCCCTGCCCCCAGCGTGCCTGGCGTCATAATGTCACTTCCTGGTGATACGCACGCCAGGGTGGGGTTCCCCCCAGGGCCTGATTCCATGGCGACGGAAATTGGGCCTCCAAAGAAGGGGTTTACCCGCCCCCACTTGGCAGCCCTATTGGGAGGGCTTCTGGAGTTCTGGCCCCACTGGTGGACCTCCTGATGGCCTCTGGGTTTGGGCCACTGTGTGACACAGAGTTTTGGACTGGAGGGGCCACTGGCCTGATCCAACATGGCTTGTCTTATGTTCTTATGTCTGGGGCAGTGATGCTCTGTATTCTTGGTGCTTGGGGGGCAACAGTGGGAGGGCTTCTGGAGTTCTGGCCCCGCTGGTGGACCTCCTGATGGCACTTGGGTTTTGGCCACTGTGTGAAACAGAGTGTTGGACTGGATGGGCAAATGGCCTGATCCATCATGGCTTCTCTTATGTTCTTAGTGGCTATTTGCTACAAGTATAGGTGGAACACTCTGTCTGGAACAGTGATGCTCTGTCTTCTTGGTGCTTGGGGGGCAACATTGGGAGGTAGGGTTGCCAAGTATAGCTTACCTCTGCAGCGGGGGACTCCCGGATGGATCCTGGAGTGCGCGCGCCGCACGCACATCACCAGGAAGTGACGTTATGACGCCGGGCACGCTGGGGGCGGGGCCACGACCATTCGAGGGGAAACCATAGAGTTTCCCCTCGGATGGTTGTGGCCCTGCCCCCAGCGTGCCTGGCGTCATAATGCCACTTCCTGGTGATTCGCACGCCAGGGTGGGGTTCCCCCCAGGGCCTGATTCCATGGCGAAGGAAATTGGGCCTCCAAAGAAGGGGTTTACCCGCCCCCACTTGGCAGCCCTATTGGGAGGGCTTCTGGAGTTCTGGCCCCACTGGTGGACCTCCTGATGGCCTCTGGGTTTTGGCCACTGTGTGACACAGAGCTTTGGACTGGAGGGGCCACTGGCCTGATCCAACATTGGCTTCTCTTACGTTCTTACGTCTGAGGGCAGTGATGCTCTGTATCCTTGGTGCTTGGGGGGCCACAGTGGGAAGGCTTCCAGAGTTCTGGCTTCACTGGTGGACCTCCTGATGGCCCCTGGGTCTTGGCCCCTGTGTGACACAGAGATTTGGACTAGAGGGGCCACTGGCCTGATCCAACATTGGCTTGTCTTACGTACTTATGGGCTGTACATCAGGGGTCCACAACATGGTGGGGGCCATGGTGCCCGCTGACTCCTTCTGCCCACCAAGTGTTTTTACAAAGTGGGTGGGGCTGGGTGGGGCATTTGCCCAGGAAGGCTTCTGTTCGGCCAACGGAGATTTGGTTGGCTGTGCAGATTTTTAAAAACGATGCCTGAGCAGCAGCTGCCACCACTGAGCTTCCCTGTCCCCAAGTGTGGGCGGGGGATCCCCTGCTTTTGTGGTCTCTGGCCCACCTTCAGCCCGATGGCCGGTGTGGAGAACCCTGCCTCAAACAGCTGTCCCAGCGGAACTTCACCAACATGCTGAAATCACTGCCGGAAGTGATGTCATTGTATTGGCAACATTGGGGGCGACGCTCTACTTCCGGGGCAAAACTCTATGGTGTGTGGCTGTTTTTACCATAAAGTTTTCCCCAAAAAAGTAGAGCATTGCCCCGAGATCGCTGACGCAATGGTATCACTTCTGGAAGTGACGTCACTGTTTCAGTGATGTCTGCGCCCACCCCCACAATGCCCCCCAAACCCCCCTGCTGGCAGAAGGCACCTGGTAACCCTAGCCACCACAGCACAAGGATCTTCACTGTGTGACTGATGGTAAGCTGTGGCAGCCATTTTGTGGCAGACTCAGCCTCCTGTGGCAGCCATTTTGTTTTATAGCTGTTTTGTGGCTTCAGCCATCATGCCGAGTCAGAATTCCCGAGGTGCCTGGAAGCTCAAAAAGTTTGGGGATCCCTGCTATGTACAATCCCGAAAGGCACAGGTTTTTGCCCTACCTTCCCCTCATTTTCATGGGCCAAGTAGGGATACCAATCAATGCTGGGAACGGGGAAGAAGAAGAAGAGAAGAGATTGGATTTATACCCCACCCTTCAGTCAGAGTCCCAGAGCGGCTTACAAACTCCTTTCCCTTCTCCTCCCCACAACAGACACCCTGTGAGGTAGGTGGGGCTGAGAGAGCTCTGAGAGAAACTGCCCTTGAGAGAACAGCTCTGACAGAACTATGGCTTGACCAAGGTCATCCAGCAGCTGTGAGTGGAGGAGTGGGGAATCAAACGCAGTTCTCCCAGATTAGAGTTTGCGCACTTAGCCACTATACCAGTGGTGGCGAAACTATGGCACGGGTGCCAGAGGTGGCACTCAGAGCCCTCTCTGTGGGCACGCGTGCCATCGCCCCAGCCAGGCCCAGACCATCATTAAAGTGTCGAATTCTCTGCCAAATAATTTTAAGTAAATGAAAGCATTTGGGATTGTTTTCCTTACTATGTTTGGGTCATCTTAAGTTAATGTATGAGTGTTTTTTTCTAAAATAAAACCTCAGTATTCAGGTTAAATTGCCATGTTGGCACTTTGCGATGAATGTGGGGTTTGGGTCGCAGTTTGGGCACTCGGTCTCTAAAAGGTTCGCCATCACTGCACTACACCAAACTGGAGACAGTGGATGATCCTAGATGAATTAATGCGGCCTATAGAGGTGTTGTTTTGGGTACGTGGAATAAGGCACTTAATCTGCATGCCAAATACTGTTTGAATAACCAAAGCAGTCAGGGTTGGGGGTGCGTCACACAGCTTTAATGCCAGTAGCTCACAGGCCCCGGTCACACGGCAAAGTTGCCGCAGGAGAGGCACGGATGGTGGGCGGATTATCCGGGCGCGATCACACCCCAACATCTGGGAAGTGGAGCGCACCCGTGGCTTATCGCCGACAATGCGAGTTTAAAAACTAGTACCTCCAAGGTACTAGTAAACGTTTGCCATGGGCTGCCTCCAGACGCCCGTGGTGTGATCGCCCCGGCGCGTAGCATTCCCCTCCGGTCCCTCGTTTACCTTCCGGTGCTGAGGGAAGGACCGGTGGTGTGCCACCGGCGCATCTGATCACGTAATCGTGGATCAAACTGCGCCAGGGCAATTAGCCATGCCTCCTCCCCCCCCGCAATATCCGGCCGGTGTGACCGGGGCCACAAAGTAGAGTTTTTGCTCACAAGACTCCAGAGCTTAGGGGGAACATTGTTCATAACACCATTCCAGCCTCCTCGCAGGCAGCAGCCCAAGGGCAGATCTGCCACATGGGGACAGTATGTGCCACTGTCCATGTGCGGAACCATCCCCCTCTTGTCGTTCACATTTCACTCTGTGTGGTTGTACGGATTGAGGGTTCACGGAGAGATCACAAGATCCATTCCGCTCTCTGCTTCTTTTGGGAAAGAGCGGCTGCCCTGGAAGCGGGACACGAGGCTCGTTGGCCGAACTGTTTCCTCACACGGTGCCCTAGAAAAGAGTTTCTCCGTGGGCGTTCTCCCCACCCCACCCCAAGTCCTACCTGGAGGCTGGCGTCCCTCGAACCCAGGCTTCTTGTGAAGCAAGATGCCCTGGGAGAGTAACGAAATGAGGAAACGGAAGGCAGGCACGTGGATTTATTTACTCGCCCGGCCAGGTGGCTGCTACTACAACTCGGTGTGGTTTCCTCAACGTCTTAAGGAGGTTGACCGGGCGGGAACACCCTGGAGAGGCCTATGATTAGCTTTTGTGTGGGGAAAGTGATCATTTGCCTCCTCCGGTGAGAAGGCACCCTACTTTCGCAAACGGGTGCCGCTGGGTTTCCTTCTGAGGGCGGCTTCTCTCCCCTCCACGGCCCCTACCGAAATAAGCACAGCCACAACACGTAATTAGCCCCGTAAGCCAGGAGGAAAAGAGGCTTAACCCGGGCACATGGAAAGCTGTCCCTGACCGAGGCACATTAGATCCTTCTCAGACAGTTGTGAATCACCTCAGCAGTGAGAGAGCAGCCTGGCAAGGGACTCTGCCGTCTGCCCTCCCCGCCTTGGTGGTGCACGTCCTTGGTCCCGAGGAGATCAGGTCGGACACCTGAGGAGTGTGCCGGGAGCATCGAGGCAGGTGAGTGGCCACCTGGAATACCGTCAAGGGGCAGCCCCAAAGGGAGTCTTTCCACTGGGATGGCCCTTTGGGGGAGAGCGTGGGCATGGCTGATCTCCTCACGTCTGGCAACATTTGCGTTACGGATACACGTTTACTATGTTGAGGGCTCTGTTTGACATGAAGTTTGGGGGCGTTTTCTTTTCTCTCTGGTGCACCAGGTGAGATCTGGGTACCTGGGGTTTGTGTATCGGGGGGGGGGATCTGTCATTTGGTGTAGAGCCAGTTTGGTGTAGTGGTTACCAGTGCAGATTCTAATTTAGGAGAACCGGGTTTGATTCTCCCCCTCCTCCACATCCAGCGGCTGGTGCGACCTTGGGCCAGTCACAAGTTCTCTCGGAGCAGTCCTCTCGGAGCTCTCTCAGCCTCGCCTACCTCGCAGGGTGTCTGTTGTGGGAAGGGAAAGGAGATTGTAAGCCACTCTGAGAGTCCTTTGGGCAGTGAAAGGCGGGGCACAAATCCAGCCTCCCCCTCTTCTTCTCTCTATGTTTTTGGCTTCTGTTATGTCTGGTCTCTGTTGGAAGGGAAGGGGATGCTACTGTCCAGGAGTATTTCGAGGTACGGAGAGACATTAGGGCTTCCCTGTGCCCTCTGAGGGTGTGAAATTCTCTGTCCTAAGAGGGTGTTGCCTACCAGGCTTTCAGCAGCTGGCGGGAGAAAGAGCTTCAAAAAAAATCGTGGTGGCCATAGTGTGACGTCACTTCCAAAATACCCCAGAAGTGATGTCTCGCTTCTGGCGGAATGGCTGGAAACTGTGGTAAAACCATAGAATGTTGGTAATTCCTAGAGAGGACTGATCTCAGTTTTTTTTCCGGAAGTGACTCCATGCCATAGCTGAGAGCTGCCCCTGCACCCCTGAAACAGCCACATGACCACATGAAGACGTTGAATCAAACCCTTGGTCTGTCAGAGTCAGTATTGTCGATAACAATACAGGGGTTGCAGTATCAAAAACTAAAAATGACAAAAAGTACTGCAATTGTGCATTCATATGTTCATTTCTCTATAATCCTATAAGCATACAAAATTACGACATTCAGCATGACATTAATTTCATGTCTTTACAGATGATAACAAATGATAACAAATTTGTTACAGACGATAAATTTTCAGAGAAGGGAAACCTTCCTTTTCCTCACTCTCAAATTCACCAACTTGTACAGCCCGTGATTACAATTTGAGAGTGAGGAAAAGGAAGGTTTCCCTTCTCTGAAAATCATTGAATTCTTATGAAGTGTCTATGGAGTGAAGAAGACAACTGATCGTATGTTGATTGACGTAAGAAGAAGGCTCACGAAACGGGAGATATTCCGGAGAGTTTCGTCCATCATTTCATCATTTGTTATCATCTGTAAAGACATGAAATTAATTAATGTTATGCTGAATGTCGTAATTTTGTATGCTTATAGGATTATGGAGAAATGAACATATGTATGCACAATTGCGGCATTTTTGTCATTTTTAGAGGCAGTATTGTCTACTCAGACTGGCAGCAGCTCTCCAGGGTCTCAGGCGGGGGTCTTTCACATCACCTCCTGTCTTGTCCTTTCAACTGGAGGCACCAGGGATTGAACCTGGGACCTTCTGCATGCCAAGCAGAGGCTCTTCCACTCACCCACAGCCCCTTCCTTTCCCTGCCTCACTTGTTCTCCTGGTCCTGCAACCCTAGGAGATATGGGGAGCATGAAGGAGATACAGGAGAGCTACGGAGTGTGAAGAAGATGTGGGAGACAGAGTGTTGTGAAGAAGATAGAACAGACCGAGGGAAGGAAATCTGGACATTTGTCGTCCTGGTCTCCCTTCTGGTTCTTCTCTCCAGCTGCTGTGACACGCCAGGCACCCATCAGCTCTTGAGCTGCTTTCGCTGAACACCAAGATGGTGAACTGGAGAGCAGTTACAGTCCAGGGCAGGGGTCATTTAGTAGAGAAAGAGGTGCAGGAGCTCATTAGCATAACTCATTAGCATAACTTATTTGCATATGCCACACCCCCTGACATCACCGGAAGTGTGTCAGAAGGCAACACCCACTGCAACTTACCTGGCTGCTTCTTGCTCCTCGTGGCCCGGGGCTGCTGGGAGCAGGGGGCGGGGCTTGTCGCATGCGCCCGCCCCCTGGGCTCTTTACTGCCGGAGCTCCACTCCTGTAGGAAATGACCCCTGGTCCAGGGTTTGATCCTGGGCTACGATCAGACGCACAATTAGACCCGACATAGGCGCGAATGCCAGGAAGCAGTGTTCCCTCTAAGCTGAGTTAGTGTGAGCCAGCTTACAGTTTTCTAGCCTCCGGCTCACACATTTTTGTCTTAGCTCAGGAAGGAGGGCTCCAGAGCAAACTAATTTATGCAGTAGCCAAATCGCTCGCTCACAGCTTTAATGCCTGGAGCTCACAGAGTAGAATTTTTGCTCACAGGACTCCACAGCTTAGAGGGAACATTGCCGGGAGGATTTAAAGGGTGCGATCGGACAGCAACATCTGGGAAGCATTCTGCAGCCGTCAGCAACCCATGCTGCTCCGCCACAGAAGCGGAGTTAAAAGACAGGGGGGTAAAGCTGGTAGTCAATGGGTCGCGATGGGCCACGGACGGACTTTCCCCTGTCTGGTCCCTCCAGCGTGCTCTCATGCCGTCGGGATGGCCTGACTCCGTGCCGTTGTCCCCCCCCCCTCGCAGTATGCGCATCATCCCAAACTCCACAGGGAGCCCTCAGTGCAGAGGTGTGGTTCATCGATCCCTCGTTTAAGCGCATGGGAAACGAACGGCACATAAACAAACAAACCTGACTCACCCGCAGTTGCACCTGACCACACACTGACGGGCTGTGCTCACAGCTTCAAAGGGAGGTGTGATCGTGCAACTAGGGGGACAAATTCCTCCGGAGGAAATAGCCTTGCTTCCCCCCCCATTTTATCTGGCACGTGTGACCGCACCCCTGGGTGACTAAACTGACCTGGTGTGGACGTGGCGATCAGAGTTCGGCTGCATTTATTGCCCTGGGCTCTCAAGAAGTGTTCCCTCTAAGCTGAGTTAATGTGAGCTAGCTCACAGTTTATAAGCCCCCAGCTCACACGTTTTCGTCTCCGCTCAGGAAGGAGGGCTCCAGAGCAAACTAATTTATGCAGCAGCCGAATCGCTCGCTCACAACTTTAATGCCGGTAGCTCACCGAGTAGAATTCTTGCTCACAAGACTCCACAGCTTAGAGGGAACATTGCTCTTAAGTCCAGATTTGGTGGGCTGGAAGGTGGATTGTTTTTTTTTCTTTTCCAAAACAATTTATTAGGATATGATACATATAATCCAATATAGTTCATAATTTCACAAAAAAAAACACCATCCTGCCCTCCTCCCTTCCCCCCCCAATTCGACTTCCCACAGTGCTCCAAACTCCTGTACAATTCTTAGTTCTTTTTTCTTCTTCTTCATTTATTCAAAATGCCCATAGGTAACTTAATTCTCTCTATGTTATTCATACAATTTTGTCTAATCTTTAATAACTCTTAACTTCAATAATTGTCAAAGCTAAATAATCCGTCCCTTACATCCCAGTTCTTCTCCAAATAGTCTTTAAGATCCTTCCAATTTGCAAAAAAAAAGTCCTCTGCTTCCAAATTATTTAATTTCCTCGTCATTTTGTCCATTTCAACCATAAACAGTAATTTCTTAATCCAGTCTCCAACTTCAGGTACTTTATCTTGTTTCCAACATTGAGCATACGTCATTCTTGCTGTTGTAATCATATACCACATCAATGTCCTCTTTGCCACATTAACTTCCTCCATTTTTAGTCCCAAAAGTAGTATTTCCGTTTTTTTCTTAAAATTGCATTTTTACAATTTTTTCCATTTCTGCATGTATCTCAGCCCAATAACTTTTTGCTTTCTCGCAAGTCCACCACATATGATAAAACGAACCTTCTACTTTTTTACATTTCCAACATTTACTTGACATATTACTGTTCATATTAGCAATCTTTTTTGGTGTCATATACCATGTATACATCATCTTATAACAATTTTCTTTTAAATTATTACATGTTGATATTTTCATTGCATTTTTTCGTAAAAATTCCCAAGATGACATCATTATTTCTTTGTTCATGTTAATTGCCCATTTTATCATTTGCTCTTTAACCATTTCATCTTCAGTATACCATTTCAGTAAAATCTTATACATTTTTGAGATTAGCTTTTTACCTCCCTCCATCCATACTTTCTCCATCATTATATGTCTGTCTAAACCCAAAAGTTTTCTTATCTTTTTTGAACAGGTCATTGATTTGTCTATATTGAAACCACAACCATATTTAAAAGCCAAATCTTCTTCCATTTTCATTTCAAATGTTTTACCCACTACTTTCAGCATATCTTTATACTGTACCCATTCCTCCCCTTTATAAGCTAAAAAAAGTTTAATAACTTCCGCCGGTACTATCCAAAGAGGTCTCTCATCCGAGAAAAACCTTCTATATTCCGTCCACGTGTCAAACAGAACCCTTCTAATAAAATGATGTTTTAAAAGACCATCCAGTTTCACCTTTTCATACCATAAATAGGCATGCCAACCAAATTTACAATCATGTCCCTCTAACGCCAAAAATTCCATATTGTTTAACATAATCCACTGTTGTAACCAGGTTAAACAGACCGCATCATGATATAGTTTTAAGTTAGGTAATTGAAAACCACCTCTTTCCTTTGAGTCACACAAAATCTTCATTTTGATTCATGGTTTTCTCCCGGCCCACACAAATTGGAAGGTGGATTGTTGTGATCTACTGACATTCCTTCTCCCTCAGCGGGGATTGTGTCAGCTCAGTTCCCTTATATTTAAGTGGGTGCATCAGACACTGGGTTTCCATCACAGTCTAGGGATTCTATTGGATGGAAGCGACAGAGGTTTATAAAATTATGCACAGGATAAAGAATGTTGACAAAGAGAACTTTTCTCCCTCTCCCAAAACATT